GGAAAGGAGTGAACTACATCACTGAAAGTGGTAAGGTCAAACATGTAAAGGGCTTGGTCGAGTTGCTTAAACAAAGGTGACTAATGCCACTTGAGACCCTCTGCAGTGTATGAGGCATCTGCAGAAGACTAGCAGATTTAACCTGTAGGAGAGGTATTTGATGGCCAGACAAGATGCCTTAGGATATCTCAGGTATTTGTGTTGAAGTAGAGGAGAGTCCAGGTGCTTTGTATGTCAAAGGGGTGGTATGGAAAGTTGAGGGATATTGTGGAGAAATTTATTCTCTGAGAATGTGGAGAAAGCTTATAATGCAAAATCTCACCACAGCTTAATTTAAGACATTATATTTTAGTTTTAGCCAAACAATAAGGCTTTGAGTTTGTACCACTATGTTAGCAACACTGTGATGCTGTTGCTTGTGCCCAGAGGACATAGTATTTCCTTGTTAGCAGTTTTACAGGCTTCAGTCAATTTGTTTCATTATCTTCAATGAACATGCTCAGAATCCTGTCCAGAGCTGATGTACATCATCAGTGATGTTGCTTTGTTGTTTTACTTAACATTTGTTTCTGGAGGTGGTAACAGTTTGGTAAGAAATGACTGAAATTGCCAGTTAGATAGAAAGAGAATGTGTGAACTGAAGAAAAAATTACATATTAATATTAATAGCACAGCATGGAAACTAAAATTATAGCACCAGTAGGAACAAACCTGTCTTGATGATTAATATATTACTACATACTAACCTGAACAGAACAGTTCTTTTTTTGTTCACAGTACTGAGCTGTATACATCTGTAGAGCATAATCTTACCATGCCACTTTGATGTTAACCCAGTATGAAATATTCAGATTCCCTTGGCTCTCAGTGCTCCTAAATCATGAATACACAAATCTGTTTGTTTGAAGCCTGTTATATGGGGGCTCAAAAAGAGGGGAATGTACATGTTCCTCCTGATTCTTCAGGTTCCTTTTCATGGCTCAGGTGGGGACTTAAGTGCCAACGGTGTGAAAAGTGCAGGATCAAAATACAAAGAATATTGGGCACAAAATTGGAAACTAGGCAGGTAACTTTCAAATGTTCGCCAAAAGTTTCTGACTCATTTAAACTGATCCTTAGCTGTCTCTGTCAGAGTATTACTCTTTATTGTCTCTCTCTATTTACTTTATTAGTTTTCTAACCCACTGATTTACAGTTATTATTTTCCTGGTTGTAACTTAGGATATATTAGTGTTGCATTGCACTGTGTTGTTACCTCAATTTGAAATGGTTTCTTAGAACTAACATATTCATCTTGCTTTACCATCTAATCTAGTGGTTATTTTAGAAGCCATAGTTATTATACTGGAGATTCCCAAGTTTTTTCATACCTTGTGTTCTCCTCACACCTTTCTTCTCATTGGTGACTGAGCAGGGAATTCCCTTCTGGTGGCAATGGTGTAGTATACCTGTCAGAACAACAGCTTCAAACTCCCAAACTCCTCTGTCTCATGTGGAAGAGTAATGAATGTCCCCCCTATTAAACTTCCTTTTGATGCTGTTTAACTAGAAATAAGGATAAGACACAAAAGTGTGATCCTTATGCACCCTTAGCAAGTAGAACATGCACCAGATGTCTTGTGTATCATTTTATCTCTCATGCTGCACTGTGTTCAGTAGGTGATTATGCTGAATAGGTGTGCAAGCATATATGCTACAGGACTGTTCTGTTTGTGGGTTTTTTTTTTCAGGATCTAAGAACATGAGCCAGATTACAACAAATGGGGAAAATGAAGGAACTACCAAAATTATTGCACCTTCTCCTGTGAAAAGGTATGTAGACCAGTGATTCCCTTCCAGCTTTTAAGAGATTGTGGATTGAATTGGATAGAGGAACACATTTAGTAATCATTAGTAACAGTTTATCCTGCCCTGAAGTTTAGGACTGTCTGATCTTCTGTTGACAAAGGTCAGAGAGCGTTCCCAATGATTCATTTTAACAAACGCTGATCTTCTGAGGAACCTGGAACAGGGTTTCCAGGTGACACAGAGTTTGGAAACCCACAAATCGGGACAAGTTAATGGGAAGGCAAACAGTTTCAGTTTTAAATATGAAAAAAACAAATAATGACCCAAGGGGCATTGGTCAGGATAGTCCTGTGAAGCCCTATGTGTCTCTCCCCTGGGAGCTGTGTGCTGGCTGGCAGAGTCCTCAGGGCATGGGTCTTCTGCCTCTGCACAGGGTAAGCTCTGCTTGGGATGTGTCGGCAGGGAAGAGCTGGGCATGGCCTCTCTTCCAGCAGTGCTGTTAATCTTGCAGTCCATTACCCGTTACACTGGTAAATCCAGAACAAAACTCATGTGTTTGTTCCTGCTCCTTAAGAGCAGTGAATTGCCAGGGCTCCTCTGGACTTGTGTGGTCTGCTGTGTTTAATTATCTGTGCTGAAGTGCGCATCTCTGGTTATTAGGCATATGTGAGAGAAGGAGGTGAGGCTCAGATTCAGAAAGGGATTTATATCCCCACCCTTAATTTTAGGTGGAATTTGGGTGCCTGAATCAAAAAAGAGTGATCTGACAAAACAATGAGTCAAAAACTCAGCACCTAACTTTTTTGCTTAGTTGCCTGAATGTCTGTCTCTGCATGCCCAGTAACCCTGACAGGGTTTTTTGAACAGAGCACCTCTGACCTTATACCTCCATTGAAGCTGTGGGCTTCAAATACTAGGTATCTCAACTGACCTCTGAAGAAGCGTCTGAAAGATTTACTGCAAATACTTGGTGGATAGTGTTTCCTATTGCCTATATTTAGAACAGTTGCCCCAGAAAAGAAGACCTGAGCTTAATTGTTCCTCCTCAGCTTGAGGGAAATTGAATCAAATATTCCAGACCTTAGAAAACAATACTAATCATGGGTTAAAAGAAAGTTTATGATTTTGCCACTCTGTCATGCTGAAGCTAGGCCATTGAGCAGAAGACATACAAAGGTGTATCAATACCTGCAGGGAGGGTGCAAAGAGGACAGAGCCAGGCTCTTTTCAGTGGTGCCCAGTGACAGAACCAGAGGTAATGGGCATGCACTGAAACACAGAAGGTTCCCTCTGAACATCAGGAAACACTTTTTCACTGTGAGGGTGACCGAGCGCTGGCACAGGTTGCCCAAGGAGGTGGTGGAGTCTCCATCCTTGGAAATATTCAAGAGCTGTCTGGGAGTGGTCCTGGGCAACTGGCTCTGCGTGGCCGTACTTTAGCAGGGTGTTTGACCAGATGAACTCCAGAGGTCCCTGCCAAGCTGAAAAATTCTGTCATTCTGTGATTTGTTAGGAGAGAGAAAGGTACAAAGCAGGAGGTACCCTTATTCCATAGTGCAGAATTCATTGTATTGGGACAGGATAGGAGCCTTTCACTACAGCTTGTGCTCCAAATGCTCTGTATAACTTTTTAGCAATGAACTGTTAAAAAGAAATGGATAAGCAGGTTGTAGAGCAAGAACCAAAATAAGGGGCTCTCAACATGGCAGCTGCGACATTTCTGAGTTTAGTTTCTTACCTTGACAGATTAAAAGCAATTCACAGGCAGACTCTCACTGAGTCAGTTTTAAATAGTCACTTCCAGCAAAAAAGTGTTGGAAGTTGTTTCTCTTGCATGCTTTCTATTTAGAAATTGATTTGTTTTTCTTGGTGTCTCTGTCTGCACATGTAAAACACCTTTCAGCTCTGCCAGGCTTAGTATGTGTGACAGGCAGCACACATACGTTGTGAAGCATTTAGTTTGGGAGTTTACTCCATCCTGTGAAGTTCTTGCATTAATTCTCAGTCGTGCTTGCAAATCTTCAGCAACTCTCACAAGCTGAGTTTTTGTAGTTTAACGTCTCATTCACTGTTGAGATACATAGTCGGTCACTTCTGCATAAGTGGTATAAATTCAAGGTAAACCATAAGAACCCCCAACAACAGTAATCTCACGTGGAATTCAGGTCCTAACCTTCTCAAATACTTAGAATGAACTCAGTCCCTTTTGCAACTGCATTCCTGGAAATAATACCAGTATCTGAAGTATCTGAAGAGCTGCCATGCTGTAGCTCTCTTGCTGTAAAGTGTGTGTCTTCTCTGAATGAGTAATGACTTAGGAATCTAATGCAGTGAATTCGCCTCCCAAGATCATTTCTTTCTCTCACTTTTTTAAGATTTGAGAACACCATTCAAATTTTTTAAGCCCAAATTCAATCTCAGTATTGTTCAGTAGTTTATGCTGTGCAAAAGCAATTGCTTTTTGCAATACAGGACTGAAAAGTATTTACCTGAGTTACTTGCTTAGTCTGTAGTAAGCACATATTTTTAAGCCTGGGAATAGATTGTATGCATGCATGAGTCAATAATTAATGGGTGCAGTATTAAGAAAATGATTTACCTGATAAAGTGTAATTTAATTTCTTTT